CGGCCTGGTTCGGGGGGTGCCCCGGCGGGATCCTGTGGTTGATTCTCGGCAGCTCCTGCCCCGCTTGGTGCCCACCCGGCCCGGCGGGTCCCGGTTGTTCCTCCCCGCGGGCAGGACCCCGCTCCTCTCCTGCTCCATCCCAGCAGGGCGGGCGGGTCCTGCACAGCCCCCCGGGCTGGGGGAGCAGGGACATCTCCAGCCAGAGCCCGTGTGTCCCGGCCTGGAAAGGTCCCAGGGATGAGGCACCTGCGGCCTCTGGGCAGCCCGGGCCAGGGTCTCCCCAGCCCCGCTGCACAGCGGTTCTTCTGACACTGCTCTGACTCTCCCCTCTTTCAGGTTCAAACCTTCCCCCGGTCACGTCACTGCAGGCCCTGCTAGGGGGAGCAGGGACATCTCCAGCCAGAGCCCGTGTGTCCCGGCCTGGAAAGGTCCCAGGGATGAGGCACCTGCGGCCTCTGGGCAGCCCGGGCCAGGGTCTCCCCAGCCCCGCTGCACAGCGGTTCTTCTGACACTGCTCTGACTCTCCCCTCTTTCAGGTTCAAACCTTCCCCCGGTCACGTCACTGCAGGCCCTGCTAAAAAGTGTCCCCGTCTCTCTCATTGTCCCCCCTCAAGCACTGAAGCCTCCAGTGAGGTCTCCCCGGAGCCTTCAGCCCCCCCAGCCTGTGCTCACAGGAGAGCTGCTCCAGCCCTCGGGGCGTTTCTGTGGCCCTCGCTGGACTCGCACCAACAGCTGCACCCAAAGAGGAGCCCCTGAACAGCCCCAGCCGAGGCCAAACCTCGTCCCACTGCTCCTGGAGAGGGGCTGGCTGGAGGAGGCCTTGGGAGCCCTGTCCTGGGGAGGTTGTGCATGGAAAGGGCTCCTGGGTTTTGCTGTCACTGACTTGTCTTGCTGAGCTCTGTTCCCCATCTTCCTGCTTCCCCCCTTCTCCTGGTTAGAATGTAGAAAACCAGCCCAACTGAGTGAAGAATCCAACTTGCTAAGGGCAACCTAGGTAAGGCTTGTGCTTCTGTGCAGTCCTCACAGAGCAGGGTGGCTCCTGTCCATCTTCTGCACCGGAGGCTCTGGGAGGCACCACAGGATCCCCTGCAGGACCCTCGGTGCCACCCCTCTGAGATGGAAGGAGGGTGTGAAGGAGTTCACCTCGTGTCCCAGCGGCCTCCTCAAGCACCATCAGCTGTGAGGAGGAGAAGGGCAGTGAAAGGGAAGGGAGCAACAAGTCTGTGTCATTGTGCAGTCATGAGGGGAGAGGAGAGGAAGCCTTGAGTGTGGAGAGGAGCTGAAGATCAGAGAGGGCATGGGAGGAGATGAAGAAGTTCAGAGGGGAGAGCGAGAGCAGCACAGAAGCTCTGGCTCGTTGCCCCTGTGGATCTTGTGCCACCAGAATTACCTTGGATGACCTTCTCTTCAGCTGATGTCGCTGTTTCCCCATGTGAGTCGGTTCCCAGACGAGAGCTCAGCTGTGCTGCAGCCAGGAGGTCCCACTGGCTGCTGGAGAGGAGCTTCAGTGAACACCCTTTCCCCCAGGAGATGTACCTGGGCTGTGCCTGCCAGGCACGGGGGTCTGAGGGGTCAGAGAGGTGCAGCCACAGCCGAGTGTCTCAGGCCGTCCTCTCCCTTTGGGAGCCCCCCGCCGTGTGGAGGTGCAGGATCATCCTGGGGGCAGCCAGCACTCCCAGATTTGTCCCAAACTGAGGCTAAGATTGGACATGGAGAACAGTTTCTTCCCCAAGGGGCTGTCAGGCCCTGGCCCAGGTTGCCTAGGGTGGAGTCCCCATCCCTGGAGGGGTTTCCAAGCCCTGTAGATGTGGAGCTGAGGGACATGGGGCAGGGGTGGCCTTGGCAGGGCTGGGTCCATGCTGGGCTCCATGATCTGAATTTGTGTGGAGCAACCAGTGGAAAAGGGGGTGGGAGGTGAGGGTCACAACAATAAAAACTCCTCAACACCAGCCTGACAGGAGCAAATTCCCACCCAGCTGATGGTTCACCACCAAACCATCACCCTTGGAGGGCCTGTCATACAGCAAGAGTCAGTGACATTGTTTAAAGAGAACAAGATCATGCAGCCTTCACCATTATCAGCTGAACTCAGATGTATCTCAAATCGCTCCTGGCTTGTTTACATTCCAGTGGAGTGAACCACTGTAAAACAATAGCTTCTGGTGCTGCCTCCTTCTTCTCTTATCTTACTTACTCCTGAAAGGAAAGCTCTGGTTAAGGGCTGCCCTTATCAGAGGCCTTTCACATGGAGAAAAGCAGGGATCTGATCTTCTACTGGTGAGGCTGAAAAAGGCAACAAAACCCTAAAAGGGTCTTAGGGTGCAGAGGCTTTTACCTGTTTGTAAAGATGGGGCACTAACAGCTTTGTTGGACAGGAGGTTTATCACAAGATTCCTGTCTCTTTAGGAGCTGTTCTCACTGCTGAGGAAAGCACAGGCTCTGTGAGGAGGCTCTGGGAAAGCCCTGCTTTTGCCAGAAGGGCAGCTGTCTCTCTACACAAAAGTTCTTGGAGGTATCTGTCCCTACCAGCCCCTCACATTCCCCTCTGGCTTCCAGCTAAGTACTGACTATAACACAGCACAGCACCAGCCCCTTGATCTGCACATCTCTAGGACTCCCTCCAATCTCTGCCTGCAAGCTGCCTTCTCCTTACTCAGCCTGGAGAAAGCCTCTTTCTCAAATCTAGACTGAATAAAGAAGTTCATTTAGGCAGCTTGATTCTGTTCTTTCCAGTGGGCATCACATATTCAAGTCATATTTTTGGTGGAATAACTTATGGAGACCTTCAGGGTGCAACCCAACATTTAAATAGTTCCAGAAATAGGGAAGTTGAGTAAAAGGAGATACAAACTTAGGATGTCACTAATACCAGTCTTAAAACACATACTTTACTATTGGTCACTTTTATTTCAAGAAGAGCCTTTAATCCCAGCTCCTTCTGCGAGATCAGTGCACAACTCAGGTAGCACAAGAAGCAGTTGCATCCTGCAGAGCAAGAGCTCCTAACAAAGTGATTCCCACTGGGACACAGGCTCTGGGTTTGCTCCTCTTCCTCGATGGGTGAGAAGCAATCCTGGCCCACACTCCCATATCCCACAGATGCTTCACTACCAGTAATTAAGCAATAAATAGTCATCAGTATCTCGTGGAACAGGTGCAAATGGTGACCTCATATTCTCTAGAAATTTAATTATTGCTGTGTTCTTACTTCTGGGACACTGCAGGTAACTCACTTGGTAACCACCAGGGGAGGTGACAGCCTCAGCTTGCTCCTGTTACCAGCTCATGTGGGACAGAAAGGTGTGGGAGCACAGGACAGATCTCCTTTAATCTGCTCCCTGCCTTAAGGGCAGTTTTCTCAGTGGGACTGTTTTTGTCATGTTGATGGAAATAGGTGGGGCAGGGGACATCAACGGCAGGCTCCTAAAGCACTTGGGAATTCATCATGCCTGTCAGACTTTACCAAGGACGTCAGACAGGCTGCTACAGGCAGGTAGTGGTAAGAGTACTCACTGCTCCTGGCTTGGCCCGGTGCTGCAGAGACACCCTCAAGGGGTGAGGAACTGCAGGGTCGTGTTTCAAAGTGAGCAGGAGCACCCGAGGCCAAGCTTGACACTTGATTCTGCTCCCCTCTGCTGGTGGGACACGCTGTGACAGCCAACGTCCCAAGGTCAAGGCAAGCCAGCTAAAATACAGAACCACTTGTCACCACAGATTATCGGGTAGCCCAAGGCTGGTTACACATGATGAGCTCACGGCAGTGTCAGTGCCCACGGTGTCCCTCCCCACGAGGAGCATTGGCTGGAGAACATGAGCTTGAGAGGATGAGGAGGACTGCAAGAACCTCAGACTGATGGAAAAGCAGAGGAGTCCTTCATGGGACATCAAGACATCTTTGTTAGGCATCGTGCAGCTGGTTCTCTTTGAGGAGAATCTTCTCCCCAGGCTTGAAGGCAGGCATGCCCAGGTAAGGGCAGCTGGCACAGCGGAACGCGTCCCCCAGGTAGCACTGCCGAGAGAAAGAAATGCACCTTCTGTCATCAGGAACAACTTTCAGTTCTCTCCCCGTGATACAGTTTTCCAGCTTCAGAGCTGCACACCCTGTTCCTCAGCACAGTGATACCCTCTCAACACATGCCTGCTCAGCAGAGCTGCCCAGGGCACTGTGCTCACAGGGAAGAAACCATTTTCCACTCCAGCCAGAGTGCCCAGGCACGGCTGCAGGCTGGGCTGTGGCACCTCTCCCTGGACCCCCATAAAGCGACACCCCTGAGCAGATTGCTGGTGAACACCAGAGCATGGAGGTAAGGGTTCCTACAAGAGCAGCACTTGCACTGGAACAGAGCACAGCCACTGGCAGGGAGAATGGGGTGACAGGCTGCAGCTCAGCACAAGCAGTGCTGGGGAGCAGTCCTGCACAACACAGTTCTTGGACACAAATCATGTACCACAAACCACAGTAAAGAACCACAGAACCATTGAATCATTAAGGTTGGAATTACCTCCATGATCATCAAGTCTGACCCAAACCCACCACACCAACTAACCCATGTCCCTCAGGGACACCCCTCCAGGGATAGAGACTCCACCACTGCCCTGGGCAGCCTGGACCAGGGCCTGACAACCCTTTCAGTAAATAAATTGTTCCTAATATCCCATCTGAACCTCCCCTGGCACAACTTGAGGCCACAGAAACCCAAATGACTACTTACATTTCCACAAGCAGATTTGGGCTGTGAGTTCTTCTTCTCCTGTTCCAGCTCTTCAGCCAGGCCACATGTGCTGCAGAAAAATAAAGAAGTCACCTGCACCTTCCGGCTGAAAGTCTGAGAATCACCAACACTGGCTCCAGCCCCACTCACACACACACTGGCCTGGGCTGTCAAACGGCACAGTTGGTGCTGGGACTATCATGCTCTTCACCTGGCTCTTCAACACCATGGGTTGTGTAAAGGGTGTTGAAACACTCCTCAAGTTAAAACTGAAATTATGTGTGCTATTTCTCCTTGAAATTTGGGAAACCAGGATTTGAGTCAAGGCTGCACAAATGCTGTAGTCACCTTCAAGAAGGCTGTTGATCATACCAGTGTGGTAGCTGGTAGCAGTTTTGGTGTGACTAGTCAGTTCTCACAGTATTTGGATTTACACTCAGATTGTTAAGGTAAGAAAGGACATGAGCCAAAAGAATTCTGCTCTGAAGAACAGCAAAGTCTCCACAATCTTTTAAAAATCCATCCAACTCTAAGGCTTTGATGTTACAGTTGAAAGGTTCACTAATACTCTAATCCCAGCACTGACCAGTTTTTGCAGGCTTTCTTTTTGCCCATTTCTTTGCAGGATGGAGCTCTGAGGGAAGATGGATCTGGCTTTTTCAAATCCTCTGAATCCAACAGCTCATCAGAGTCCAGAAGATCCTGAAAACACACCACGGTGGAAAACATGCAGGAAACTGACTGGTCAGAGGGAATGACATTGCTGTGCTATTTTCAAAGAATTGCTGCCATCTGTAGTACCAGCACTGAAGTGCTGCAGCTCTGCCCTCTGACCCAAGTTCCCTTTCCACCCTCACCACACCTCTGGCCTCTCAAGACCTGTGGGGAACAGTCCATCTTCTTTCCCCCCACATAAGACTAAACAAAATGCCTTTCAAGCCAGCAAAACAAGAGTGGCACATTTTTACTGATTTAGCCAAGGATGGACTGGAACAGGCCCCTTGCTCTACCAGGTAAGTCCACAACAAGAGCATAAGGGTTATGATAACTGGCACCAGAATGGACAATAGGTTAAAGAAAGCCTCTGAGAGAGTACGTACCTGGCCAGTGCTACTTAACTAATTTGAACAGTGGTACCTAATGCCTAATAATAAGTGGTACCTAATAATAAGGGTGAACACACACACACAACACACTAACTTTCCTGCCAGGCTCAACTCCTACCCTTTTACTCCATTGATTCCACCCCTCTCCCTCAGACTGTACATTAAATAAGACCATAGTACTTTTGAATTATTTCCCTGACATATCCCTAGCCTACCTCTCCTGAACCTTGGTCCCTCAGTTTGTGTTAACCCTTAATAATTCGTAACCTAAACATTGGTCTCAGCAACAGTTTGTGGGCGTGGTGAGGGCGGTGCTTCCAGTCTCTAAGACTCAGCCCAGCAGCGATCTATCCTCTGAGCGAGGCGAGCGCCCCGTGTGGCCTCGGTCTGTTTTAAATACCCCTCCACATCGGGGGTCGGGGGAGGACTCCCGGAAGCATCCTGACAGCTGGTACCTCTGTGACAGCATCGGCTTGCAACAAGACCTCCCCCACTATATGACATGTCTTGCCCTGGGGATGGTTTTTTACCTAAGTTGTAAAGGTCTGAATGAAAAAATTTAGAAAAGGAAAAAAAGAGGAGAGAGAAGGAACAGCAAAGCCTCACAAACAAGACCAGATACCATCTCTTCATCATTCATATCGTTGGCAGAGAGTGTCCACAGCTTGGCGGTGGCTGCATCCACAGAGGGTTTTCCTGGAGCTAAAACAGGAAGAGCAGTTACTCCAGCCTCTGCCCCATCTACCCCCTATAAGTAGGCTTCAAGCACTTCTGGCAAGCCCCACTTTACTGTTTTTTACTGTAGCACTCTCTATCTCAGAGCAGTCCCCTTGTTCCAGGGGATGCTTGTCACCCCAGAGGCAATCCAGACATCCTACATGCATCACTCCTTACCTGAAGGACCAGGCTTCTTGGCAAAGGAAAGTTTGAGCTGACTTGAGGATCCCACTTCAAAATGGGGCTTCCTGCCTTCTATCTGAACAAGGAGAAGGTCATTGCCTTGGTAGCCCAAATGCTGTCGGACTGACTGGGCCTCCTCTGGGGTCAGCTCTTCCTTTTGTAGCTGCAATGTGAGATTTTGGGTTACTCTCACACAGAGCCCTTTCAGTCAGCACCCAGTCCAGCACTTCAGTGAACAACAGGAATTTTCAATCCTAAAGACAAACACTACCTTGGCAGTAACTAAACCTTGGGGCAGGCAGTGCCCATGCACATTTCATAGAATCATAGAATGTTTGGAGTTGGAAGGGACCTCTGGAGATCACCTAGCCCAACCCCATTGCCAGAGCAGGGTCACCCAGAGCACACTGCACAAGATGGTGTCCACGTGGGTTTGAAACCTCTCTGGGCTGCCTGCTCCAGGGCTCTGCCACCCTCATTGTAAAGAAGCTTTCCTCATGTTTAGATTGAACCTCTTGTGTTCCAGTTTGTGCCCACTGCCCCTTGTCCTGTCACTGGACACCCCTGAGAAGAGTCTGGCCAATCCTGCTGTAGATACTGATCAGCACTGATGAGATCCCCCCTCAGTCTCCTCCTCTCCAGCTGAACAGCCCCAGCTCTTCCAGCCTTTCCTCATAGGCAGATGCTCCAGTCCTTCTACCATCTCAGTGGCCTGTGCTGGACTCTCTCCAGCAGTTCCTTGTCCTTCATGAACTGGGGAGCCCAGAACGGGACACAGTTCTCCAGATGGGGCCTCACCAGGGCAGGGTTTGCTGCATTTACAGCAAACCAGGGCAGCTAAACACCATAACACCCAGCAGGTCCCTGGGAACCACCACCTCCATTTCAGGTATCTGCACAAGGGAGTTCCTGGCAGGGTTTAGTACATACGAACCTCCTTCACCTCCACCAACCCAGAGAGGGTCAGAGCTGTGGGGAGTTTGGCTGCTGTCTTGATTCTGCTGTTGTTTCCTGGAAGGCACAAAAGCAGGAAGTAGGAGGGAAGAACAAGAATAGAGGTCATTGAGAAACCTGGAAGAATAAGGAAATTCTTGATCCAAACCCTTGCTTTAAAATTGGGCCCTTTCTAGTTGACAGCAGGAAGACATCAAAGTCCATAAGCAGCTTGTTCATTACAGTAAGTAATGAACATTACACTAGTCCCACTTGCACTTTATTCCAAGTTCACCAAATTCCAGCCTGTCAGATGTGACTTTGAAAAAAAGAAACTTCATCTGCTCCCAACTCTGCATGTTCTGTGCTCTGTCCCAGAAGTGTTCCCCCTGCCCCTAAGGCACCACATGCACCACAGAGCCACTGCCAGCTCCAAAGCACTGGCAAACCCTCCCAACCTGAAGAGTGTTTCTGCTGCCACTTCCAGCAGGGCTCTCAACCCTCAGACTGTGCCAGCAGACACAGGGTCAGCAGAGATGCTTCTTTTCCTACTGGGTTATTTCCGACTTCCACTCTGAACCAGCTCCCTACGTCAGCAAGGTTTGAGCACAGGCCAAGACTAAGACAGAGGAATAACCTTGAGTTCACCTCCAGGTGTGTTCCTCCAGCTGTCCTATGGTCTTTTCTCTTCAAACTTAGTTCAAACACTTTTACCTTTTCTGGACAACTATTTCTCAGGTGACTTCTAGGACAACCTCTCTTGGCATTTGTCACCTGTTTTTAAAACAGCTTCAGGAGCTCCTCAGAAAGACATCTGCAACTACTTATCATTAGTGTGGTCAGGAGAGGGTTCCTGCCTTCTCCATTTCAGCCCGATCCTCCCAGGAATTGCTCTGCTACGACAAAAGCAAGGCTGATGTGGATGCTCTCACCTGATCCTGTTACCACCAGTTCCTTCAGGAGCAGGCGTCCCCCTGGCTTCAGTATCCGAGCTACTTCGGCCAGCACCTCGGCGCTGTGCTGCGCTGCGCTGCCCGGCACCACGCCCGACAGAACCACATCGAAACTGGACTCCCTGTGAGCCGCTGCAGGCAGGAAAAACAGCACAACTGCATGTCAGCTCACCCAGCAGGAGCGCCCCCCGCCTCTAAGCAGCGAAACATTCAGCTCACTCTTACACTGAGACAGCTGGTTAATGTTTTCCACAGATACACGATTCTCAGTTCCCACCAGTGCCTGAATTTTATCCACCAAATCCTTCAGGGCTTCCACGGGCGAGGAGCTGTCCCAGATGATGGCCACGTGCTGCCCCGGTGTCACTCCGTACTCCCCCATCTCCACAGCAGCAGCAAACCTGTCAGTAGCAGGGAGAGGGATGGGTCAGGGAAGACAGAGAAGAAGGGGATGATCCAAGCACCAGCCTCTATGGGCTGTGACTGAATCACAGAGCACCGACTCCTTTAAATAAATGGGGATTGTTCCCTCGAGACAGGCAGCACAGAGTTCCCACAGGCTGTGTGTTAACACGACAGGAACGAACAGCTGCATTTAAGGGCATAATTCAGTTTCTCCCCAGTTCAGAGAGTAGTTTTGCAGGAAGATTTCAAGCCATGCTTAGAAAGAAAAACAAACAAACAAACTTACCTGCTTTCCCTAAAGATTTGAATACACAGAATTTCTCGATTTCCACACTAGTGGCAACTACTTGACATGAAACCCTGCCTTGTCTCTCCTACTCAGGACATGCCCTAGTGCAGTTTTCTTCTGTAGGACATGGCAAGAAAAAGTGACTTTTGGCATTCCCAGAATGCCAGGTTATGGCTCATCCAACTCCTCTCATTGGTGGCACTGGGTGAGGGAGGAGGGAAACAGAATGTGTGGTGAAGTGACAGTTCTGAGAAACCTGTCTGACCTAATACTTTATAGAAGACTGCATTCCTGACAGTCTGAAGAAAATCTGCACTACAGAAAGGTCACAAGAGTGTCACACCTGTCCTCAGAGCAGCACCAGCTACTGAAACAAATTACTGACCCTCTTTCACTCTGCTCATCCAATGCAAACATATTTTCTGTCTAACTTAACATGACACAGAGTACTAGTGACCAGAGTACCTGCAATGAGCTGCAAGCCACTGTTGTTTCAGGAGAGCCCGTTGTAAGTAAGACCTTGACCAGAAAGCATCCCATTATGCATCCTGGGTAATGCCTTACTTGCCACCAGGCTGCCATTAGAGCAAAGTTTGGGGATATGTTTGACCAAATTTAACTCAGTGGCCTGCAGTCAGGAGTGGAGTGGATTTTGACCCACTGTTCCTCTGGCTCTGTGTGCCATGGACCTCTCTCTGCTGGAAACTGCAAACAAGTTAAGGATGGGACAGCCTGGTGAGAGCTACAGTGGTAGGAACGAGAGGCAAGGCAGCACACACCACCAGCCAGGTAAGGGGGGGAGATGCTGGGTGTTTGCTACGGGCTGCAGCACCTCACAGCTGGCCCTGCACGCACAGGTAACACAAACTAAGGGACAAAGACCAGCAACACCAGAAAATACATATTAATCCCATCAAAAAGTCATCCTTGCCGGGAAGAGGGCTGAAAACCTAACATAAGCTGTTAGGCTAATGTGGTAAAAAAAAATAAAGTCAAAGTCACATCTTCCTCTCAGACCAGTGGGCTGTGACCTTCCAACACCAGCCAGAGCCCAAACCACAACATCAGC